TGATCACGTTTGGTTTCCGACTTCGGGTCTCGAGAGATGTTTTACAAGGTAATCATAAGTGACACCGGGCTCATGTAATCCCATCACTTGGTACAATGACACCAGTTGCTACCATGGTCCCATGGGACCACTCCCATGGCATCAGCTTCATGACTAAGGTCTCACTGTTACTTTGCGTGTCATACTGCCACTTAGACCGCTTTCGGCTCTGCATACTTTAGCGAGGAGAAGTGACCTGCGAGTCTTCGCCATCGGTATTTGTAGCGTGGGTTGTCGCAGAGAACGCTGACCTCCGGAACACTAGAGTTCAAGTTGTACGGAAACGGCCAATAAAAGCCAATGCAGACCACAAAAAACAGTATTACTAAGTTTAACTTGGTAGGCTTATAACACTATCAACCTAACTAAAGAATCTTTAGTGCTCTCACTCCGCCTTCGTTTGGCTCAATGTCTTTTATACTTAAATTGTGTCAAGATGGATGGATGTTAATTATCCGACATTTTTACTTTTGTTTTGGACAAGCTGGAAATCATGCTAAATAGTGGCCAAATTTTGAATGGTATTTACAGTTTTCACGGGTTTCAGCAGATTTCGACGGTTCGTCAGAGACGCCCAGACCTGAGTCGCGGGCCATCATGCAAACACGGGCCATTATGCAGACACGGCCATCATACAGACGCGACCCGGCCATCATACAGACCTGGCCATCACACAGACGCGGGACATCACACAGGCCCGGCCATCATACAGACCCGGCCATCATACAGACACGGCCATCATAACAGCGAAACGTGTTAGTAAACTTCATTTTATTTAGACACGGTGATATCCAGGAGGACACTTGTGATCGGGTCGTGGAAATGTTGAGCCGTCAATATCACTGGAATGTCTACCTGCAGGATTCTACACTGGCGTGTTATATGCAGTTCACAGCTTGCATCAAACTTGCAGGGGCGAGACAGCGCAGGTCATTGGTGACGATCGTAATCTAGCAGACGATATATGCAGTGATGTTCATCATTGTTTTCACGTCCTGCCGACAGCGTCACTGACGGTCTTACGTCACTCAGGAGGTGCTCTGTCACCGCGATTCTCACGCATGGCGTTCAATCACGGATTAGTTTATCAGCCTATAATTTTACTCACATATCTTGCAAGGAACTGCCATTTATCAGGTGAAGGAAGAATTGAGATCTCATAAGATAACACATTTAACCACTTCAAGATAACTGTATGACGTTGAGCATACAACTATGGAAACCCGATCTTGCTATTCCTATTATACAGGCGGCTTCTATTTGTGGAGTAGAAAAAGCTGTTGCTTTCAAGAAAGTAAACATTTCTTATGGCAACGATGCAATGGTTTGCACCCTCCCAGACAAAACAAGAGTTGCACCTGCAAGACTCAGGTCATCCTCCAAGTTCCACCAGCATGCGGTTACGCACATATGACTGTTGGATGGCATGTACTTAATGCGTCTAAAATGTGAACTCCTCGTGGCCGCATGGCATGCAGTTTACAACAATGCCAGGCACAAAAGATAGTTTTTTGCCACCTATGTAGGTACCACGTTGCATAAATACAAGTGTGACAGCCTAAATGGATCCTTAATAACGCACGATGCGATAGGACACAACGCGCGTACGTAATACAAAGAGGTGGCTGACGCAGTGTTGAAACTGCTGTCGGCACCATATGAGTACAGACACCACACAAGATACCTTTCCGTGAGTAAATGAATTCCCCGGTTCTTTGTGCACGTTAAGCTGAGTTTGTTGGCTGCAGAGTGCATGCAGCCTGGGGCGCTGACAATAGACTTGATATTGGGCCGTGGGACGTATATCGCCTGGGGAGACCTTTAATGAGCTTCGCTTTGAAGAACAAACAATGTCTGCGCGTTCTGTGATTTAAAGGACTTCCTTTTAGTGTGCAGCTGCCCGTGCTGTGAGGCTGACACTAGGCGGTCGAAGTCGCGAAAGCCTGCCGAGACACGTGCCGAACCGATCACGGCTGTGCACACGGCACACAAGCTATCGTCGATGACGACTTAATGTAAAACGTGCGGAACAGATCACGGCTGTGCACACGGCACACAAGCCATCGTCGACGACGACTCAATGTGGAACTGGTCAACGCAATACGCAGAACAGCAAAAATGCCGATATCAGGACTTTCGTAGGCAGACAAATAATTGCTCGATCCGTGTCCATTACTATGCTGCAATCACCGATGCTATCACCAGCGAAAACGCATATCTCACTTTTACGTTTATCTACGAAAATCCAAATTATATTGCTATCGACGGTGTTTGCTCTTCACCTTTGTCTTTACTTGTGCAAAACATTATCAAAAACTCCGATTTAGATGTCCCTGGTGAAACATTTAGACCTCTTAAAACTGACTGAAAGTGGTGACTGGCTCTGTAAGGCTTCCGTCATTTGTAAATTATCTTCGTTGCCTAGGATGATCTCTGGATCTGTAGAGTAGAGTGAAATCGAAGTCTCCAACTGACAGCAAGCCATGTGCACCGCTAAGTATTGCCAAAAGCTCGGGTTAGTCTGAAAAAGAACATTAACTACCAAATGATATTAGGAAGAAATTGCTCTAGTTAATAGCTTTTGGTCATTATGAGTTGAGAGCTATTATGCTGGGTTATCAGCATTCCACACACCACCCATCTAATGGCACTGGTTAAACGACCCAAGTGCAAACATTAGCTATATTGACAGCACGCGATGGTGTGTTTCGGCTTTATTCTTTTACATGAACATTGGTTATCGAGTATACCTGACATCCAAAGACGTAATTTTGATACTTCTCTTCTACATTTCCGCCAATGCATAGAATAAACGGGGTCTGGAGATGTTTTGGAAAAGTTTTGCTTTGTTTTGGACACGGCAGCGTGGTTTAAGTCCGAGGCAGTGCGCACTTTTCAGTCCGATTGACTTAAAGAAAGGTCAGGCACCGTTGTTGGCTCGGGAAAGGGATGTACCTTGCACTATTTTGTGGGCCATACCCCTTATGATTTCGCAGTTTTATCTGAATCTTATGGTAACACATGCCAATGATGTCCTAAAATGTCCTTCTGCTGGAGCACGTTAATCACCTTTTGAAAGTGACGCTCCACGAGGCCCATTCCAATCTCACATTCCACACGACGACGTAATGTGTAAAACGTCACTAGCTGCAGCTGATCTATCGTACGAAGTCGCACTTCGTTGGTGTTCAGATGAAAGCAATTACTGCCAAAAATAAGTTCTACTTAGCCCCAACATGATATTCTCTAAACCGAAGGCACAGTTGCAGACCGACCTTAACCGCGGCCATTTCCGGAAAAGGCCGCCATCCAAAGATCAGAATATTCTATGTATATTTGCTAGACACCTTTCTTTCGTGCTTTGAGGCTTCAGCGATTTTATTCCTCCGCGCGTATACTCCAGTGTCATAACGACGTTTGAATCAGGGCAAGCTGTTTCTACAGAAACGAATTAAACAGGCACCACGGCAGCACGTTGGATAGGTTTCTCTTGCCAGCAGCGTTTCGAGCATGCGCTGCAACAATTTTGTTCAACAGTTTTGATAATCGCTGACGCCGCTAGCACGACAATCGCTATCACTTTTCAAAGAAAGGGTCCATGCATCTGATAGCTGATATAGTCATCGCAGCTGAAATAGCCCGGCCCAACCGCCGCGCAGCTCAAAACCCCTTGGCATATTTTTTTTTCTGGACGAGGTTTTATGCACAGCATATGGCTCGCCCTTCTAAATGTCAAAGCAGTCTCTCCGTTCCAGCGTTCCGACAAAAAGCCGCCTAAGCATTTCGGCACCGCAGCTTCGGTCACGCTTTGCTGCGGATCGGGGGCAGGGCCAGCCAGGGCCAGCCTGTGGATGGTCTGCTGGCAGGGGGTCAGATGGCGCCTGATGAGCCGAACCGGCGGCCCAGTGACCGGGATATCGTGTCGGCTCGGCCGGGCAAGTCAGGTGGGGGCGCCGGCCCAGACACCATCCATAACAGCGCCCCGCCCCCGCCGCGACGGCGCACCGCGCTCCATCTCCACCGGCGGCACGGCACGTGTAATCACGCCGACCTGGGGATTCGGGGGTGTCGGGGGAGCGGCCGGTCACCCCGACCTGGCGATCTGGCGGTGGCGAGGGAGGGTTTAGTCACGTCGATCTGGGGATCTGGGGATGGCGGGGAGGCTCTGATCACAACGGCTTGGGGATCTGGCGGTGTCGGAGAGGGTCCAGTCACGATGACCGTGAGAACGGGAGGTGCTATTAGGAGAATATGTAGGAAATCATTAGGAGAAAGAACATTGAGCAGTGGAGACCGCTTTAACAGGACCGCACAGGGGACCCCTGTGTGCGGAGAACGTGAACACCACTTGTGGAGTATCATGGTAAGAAGGCACGCGGCAATTGAGAATTATGTAACAAACATATCTTTGAAGCATAAATTTAAGCAACGGCACAAGACAACGTCGACCTCACGCTATTAGAATCGCTTTACACCCTTAATCTTCGTCCGAGGCTTGCCGCACAATTGTCGTTTTGAGACGGGGTTTGAGTGAGTTTTTTTTTAGGCAAGGCTTGTCAGAAATAGCTCTATGGTTCCTGTGATGAACACAAATGTCATGCACCAAATCGCTCACTAAGCTCACTAACCATCTTCAGCACGGGCCATCACATCTCATCGGGTTGGCCGTCTGTGTCTCTTGCGGACCTTAGTACAGTGCTGCTGACTGAAGGCCCTAGGCAAAGGCCCTTTTTGGCCTTTGCCTCTAGGTCCTTTTTGTTGGCAAAAAATGTAAGGTGCTCTTTTTGGGATCCCTATGTTTTGCTGCGGCAGCAAAGTCGGGCTGGGCCAGGGAGGATAGTTGGTTGCTGAACACTTTTTAGGCTCCTTTTGAGATCCGCTGACATATGACTTAACACAACACTGTTCTTCGCACTAACTATAATCACCAATTCACAGCTACTGAAACTTTTTGTTCACAGAATTAATCGGCGTTCTCTGCCCATGACAATCCAAGATGAATAAAACAGGGGAAAACTTCTTCAAATTGGGATCAAGAAAGCGCAAAAATACCTCGTATTCTGACTTCATAAAGGTCAGGGAAGGTCACTGAGTCAAAATGACACCGATCAACCTTTTGGTTTCAGGAGCATGCATCTTAAGGAGCACTTGGCGCCGATTTTGAATTCAAATATGAAGGTCATTTTTACCTTCTTAAGGTTGAATATGGCCACTGACCTGACATAGACACCTGTGACATGGCATCTGGATTAAGGCTGGTTGCGTGAGGAGTTCTGACGGCACTTCGCACTCTGACCTGGAGTTTGGCATTGTTTGGCTTTATCTGAAGAAAGCTCACAGCCTATGGCCTCAAAATTTACCATAAGTGAGTTCACATAGTCCCACCTACTTTGTGTATTTGATGTTTCCTGCTCTTCATTTTCGAGATCTCAGTGGTAGCCCCAACTGCCTCACCCTCCCCCCCATCCGAGCAAGGGACATCTAACCGGTCCTCCGGGCACGTGTTAACGATATGACGCTGTTATACTTTGCTAAATCTCCTCCGCTCATTATGTGTATAGAGTCCTTACGCAAACACATGCTACCGATCTTTAGTATGCCTTGCAGTACGTGTCGAAGGCCATCATCGAGCGAAAATTTGTTGCATTTGCATCTCCTGGTATAGTGAGGGGCGGTAAGTGTCAGCATAAGAAGTCTGAAATCAGAATGCCGAAAACCAGGATTTCAATGCGTTCCCCGCTCGCCATTCATCTGCGGTAGCGAGTTGGTGTGATGCGGTTCATACGCTTGCTCCAGCCAAAGTCTCGCAGTTCTCCCGTCGGGGTCTCCCCTCCCCCAAAATGTCCGATGTCAGCTCCGATCGACGGAGCGCTGCCGCCGGCGCGTCACCACCCTTTTCAGCGGTGCCTCGTCGCGAATGGCCTCCGCTGCCCAGCTGCCACTTCTCTGACGCGGCCCACCCCCGGCAGGCCGACCAGCCGGGCAAGGCATGATGGAGATCCGGCCACCGGTTCCGGCGGGGCGGCGCCGCCACCGCCGGCCGCCGCCGCTCTGGCTGCTGCCACTGCTGCTGCCCTGTGAGTGGCCCGGGCGTCCGCTTCCGGCCCGCGTCGCCGCCACCGTCCCTGCTCCAAACGACGCCCGTAATGTAGCGTGGCAGGCGGCGCTTCTCGAAACGCAGTCAGGCCGCGTCCTAATCAACCGTGACGGCATGGCAAGAGAGTCACGCTGGGGAGAACGGCAGACAGGCGAGGGAGTCACACTGGGGAGAACGGCAGACGGGCAGGGTGTTACACTGGGGGGAACGGCAGACGGCAGGGGAGTCACACTGAGGAGAACGACAGACGGGCAGTGGTGTTACGCTGGGGAGAGCGGCACACGGGCAGGGGAGTCACACTGGGGAGAACGGCAGCCGTGCAGGGTGTTACACTGGGGGGAACGGCAGACGGCAGGGGAGTCACACTGAGGAGAACGACAGACGGGCAGTGGTGTTACGCTGGGGAGAACGGCACACGGGCAGGGGAGTCACACTGGGGAGAACGGCAGACGTGCAGGGGTGTTACACTGGGGGGAACGGCAGACAGGCAGGGGAGTCACACTAGGGAGAACGGCAGACGGGCAGGGGAGTCACGCTGGGGAGAGCGCAGACGGGCAGAGGTGTCACACTGGGGAGAACGGCAGACGTGCAAGGGTGTTACACTGGGGAGAACGGCCGGCGGGCAGGGGAGTCACACTGGGGGAGCGTCAGACGGATAGGGGGGTCACACTGGGGAGAGAGGTTGCTAGATTGATCACTAGATTAGTTGCTAGTAGTAGTTGCTAGATTGATCACTTGCTAGATATGAATGATGAGGAACGGCCTTCAGAACACGAAGCAAACTGATCTATCTGCGATCAGGCACTTCGGACACGCTCAGTATTCGCCCGGTCTCTGTTGCCAATCACTGTTTAAGCAAATGACACCGTTGACACAGTCCGCACCCGGTAACTCCACCTGTCACCAACCCAGGCATCTCAGCCAGCGGTCGCCTGACCCCGACCGGCGGCCGTCGCCGCGGCTATTAGCGTTCAGACAGGCGCCGCGCGCTGGCCGTCAGCAGTCAAAGCGGCGGTCCGGCCGGCGGCGTCAGCGGCCGCTCGTGATCGCTCCATTAGAGCGGCCGATGGGGTGCCGACACGCGCCGCCGCCGACACTGCGCCCGTCGCCGACAGGCGCCGCCGCCATCGACTGCTTCCGGTGTAGCTCCTTGAACGGCTCCAGCCCGCGTTGCCAGGACCCGTTCCACAACAACTACACGGACCTGCTAGTCTCCAACTGCATGGGTGGCAGGTACCGGCCGGGCTGGCGGAGATAAATGTTGCGGCGCGAATGTCGGCTTTTGCGCCCCCGAAACTTACGTGACGTTCTCCGTGAAGGTGCTGCCTGACATCAATATTGCGTAATGCTTCCACGGAAATTTGGAAACTTGTGTCGTTAAGGGAAACTTGAGTCTACAAAACTACTCACAGCTGCTACAAACTAAGGCGAACTCCGTGCTCGCACACCGGACAACTAGAGCCCGTAACATTGGTGGCGCCTTGGTCTGCCTGTCCTACCCAATGAGCGGCCAAGGTCTACAATTCAGGTGTTCCTGGTCCCGTGGTGTTAGGACCGCGGCTTATTCAGGTTTCAGGACAAAGTATCGCATTGCATGGCACCCAATGCAAATATCTCGAACACCTCAATAGAAAATATGAAATCGAGGTGGATGAATATGCGCGAGAGTAGATGTCAAAAAGAAAAGTGATGGAGAAGTAAAATGTCGGTAAAATGATGGCCATCAGCGATATAAAGCGAAACATGAAACGTCCGATATTCCCGGAATTTTTACGGGAAATCCATCATCTTAATTTAACATAATGATTCATATTACTGTAAATTTGTACATGATATTATAATCAATTATTCCAATAATCAAATATTTTCATAATTTGAAGGTCGTATGAAAGCCAGCGACCGAAAACAAATAGCCAAAATAAACTTTGATGAATGATTTAGTACCCTAAATACGACACACAAAAATTTAACTGGATTGGGCCGGGCCGGGCAGAACTGGGCTGGGCCGGGCTGAGCTGGGCCGGGCTGAGCTGGGCCGGACTGGGCTGGGCTGGGCGGGTTAGACTGGGCTGGGCTGGGCTGGGCTGGGCTGGGCTGGGCTGGGCTGGGCTGGGCTGGCTGGGCTGAGCTGGGTTTGGATCTGATTTTGTTGGGCTGGATTGGATTGGGATCGGCCGAGTTGGGTTGGGCTGGGTTGGGTCAGGATGAGCTGAGCTGGGTTGGAATGGGCTGGGCTTAGCTGGGGTTGGGTGCGTCGGATTATAACGTGTTGGCTTGGGTACGTTGAGATAAACTTGCAATTTTGGCCCTCCACCTGTGATGGGATGTTGTCGGGGTGCAAACATATGTACAGTTTGACAACTGCCCTGGAAATGTATTGCCAAGCGATCGTTATCATTATTTGACGTCTATAATCATTTTGGGTGCAGATTACCCTGATCACCTGATCTGGTATGGTGTCATGTATGGCATGGTTCGTGGTGGCATAGCACAGTTCGCATCCGTAAATCGTTGCCCTCGGTTATGACGAAATAAACAGTTTCATCGCTGTGAGCTGCGAACATCCTATCTTATGCATCCGCCAAAGTGATGTCAACATAATTTCATAACCGTTTTTATTGGTTGCTCATTGCCTGTAAGGCTGTCAGCAGATCCACCGATCGGCGTTGTTGTTACCTTGGTGTATGACTGGTTCGATGGTTGGATGGTTCACGCCTGTACTGTGGGTTTGCTCTTGGAAGCGCTTAATGTTCTTGTTTTACAGAAAAGGAAGGAACGGCGTGTTTCCTGCCAGTGCCTGCGTTAAACTCTCTGGATCCTACAGTAAGAAGTATATGTTATTTACATGGCTATATATATATATATATATATATATATATATATATATATATAGATATATATCCATGTATATATACATAAATGTGTATGTGTGTGTATGTGTTCGTTTGTGTGTGTGTGTGTGTGTGTGTGTGTGTGTGTGTGTGTGTGTGTGTGTGTGTGTGTGTGTGTGTGTGTGGTGTGTGTGTGTGTGTGTGTGTGTGTGTGTGGTGTGTGTGTGTGTGTGTGTGTGTGTGTGTGTGTGTGTGTGTGTGTGTGTGTGTGTGTGTGTGTGTGTGTGGTGTGTGTGTGTGTGTGTGGTGTGTGTGTGTGTGTGTGTGTGTGTGTGGTGTGTGTGTGTGGTGTGTGTGTGCGTGTGTGTGTGTGTGTGTTGTGTGTGTGGTGTGTGTGTGAGTGTGTGCGCCCGTCAATAGCCTTACGATGATGCGTCGATGCATCCACAGGTAGCATCCTATATGACTGTTCAAAATGTGAGAGAGAGAGAGAGAGAGAGAGAGAGAGAGAGAGAGAGAGAGAGAGAGAGAGAGAGAGAGAGAGAGAGAGAGAGAGAGAGAGAGAGGAGGAGAGAGAGAGAGAGAGAGAGAGAGAGAGAGAGAGAGAGAGAGAGAGAGAGAGAGAGAGAGAGAGAGAGAGAGAGAGAGAGAGAGGAGAGAGAGAGAGAGAGAGAGAGAGAGAGAGGAGAGGAGAAGAGAGAGAGAGAGAGAGAGAGATAGAGAGAGAGAGAGAGAGAGAGAAGAGAGAGAGAGAGAGAGAGAGAGAGAGCGAGAGAGAGAGAGAGAGA